GGAAAGGAGAACAGACATGCTCTGGTTGACAAAGGAAAGAGAGTTTGGGTGGATTCACCTTTGGTTCCTATTCAACCAAAAAGAGGTGGTAAAGGTGGAAGGGGCAGGGCTAAGAGATGAAAATCCTTACCTGGAATACTAGAGGGTTCAAAGCAGAAGGTAAATATACAGCTATACTTAGAAAGATAAATAAATATAGCATAGATATAGTAGCCATATTAGAGCGAGAATAAGGTCCTCTGAGACAGATAAACTAGCTGAGAAGAGGTTCCCAGACTGGAAGAAGAGGATACAACACAATTCAAATGGTTGGGGAAATCTGGTTACTTTGGAAACAGATATCCAGCTACTATTCTTCATTCTTCATATCAATACATACAGTTTTGGTTAGTGGGCTCAAGTTTTCTTTGGACAGTGGTTTATGCTTAATGAGGAAGCCAGTAGAAGGGAGTTATACAATGAGCTGAGTAGTATCAAAGTGATTCAAGCTCCTTGATTATTATGGGTGATTTCAACGATCATAGCATCTTCTGAAGCTTCTAATTCCCCTACAATGGATACACGTATGTTGAATTTTAATGATTGGATAAATGGTATGGAGTTAGAGGAACACACAGGCAACTGGCCCTTGGTTTACATGGTTAAACAAGCAGGCCGCGAATCCAATTGCAAAACGGTTAGACAGGGTTCTAATTAATTTTTCTTGGTTAGAGTTGGTGAATGACAGTAAGGTGCAGATTCAAGCCCCTGGAGTTTCAGACCACTGCCCACTCTATATTGATACCTGCTCCTCTTTGAAGTCAATTCCAAAGCCGTTTAAGTTTTTTAAATTCTGGCCGAGGCATCCTACATTTGATGCATTATTAGCAGAAGCTTGGTCCAGCAGGGTGACAGGGCATCCTCTTTTCGAGTGTGTAAGAAGCTGAAAATTCTGAAAAACTGCTAAGAAAGCTAAACAGGGAGGAGTATTCTGACCTGCGAGAAAGGGTAAAAGCTAAAGAAGCCGAGGTTCTACTGATGCAGCAGCAAGCTCTGTCTAATCCAACTACTGTAACATTTGATACTATGATCAGGCTGGAGCAAGAGTTAAAATCAGTATGCCACGATGAGGAAGTTTTTCTTCAGCAGAAGTCGAGGGAAACCTGGTTGAGAACTGGGGATTCAAACTCAGCCTACTTCCACAGATCACTCAGAACTAGGCAGAAGCGAAGTACAATCAGAGTCCTAAGAAACGAGCAAGGAGAGAAAGTTCAAGATGTGGATGAAATGTCTCAAGTTGCTGTGCGGTTTTATGAGAGGTTACTTGGTGTGGCTGACTCTGCAGTTGAACCTCAAACTAATGAATATGTTTCTGGCTTGTTGAAAAGGAAGCTTAATGAGGATCAAATTGAAGGGATTTGTGATTCTTTCACTGAGCAACAGATCAAGGATGTTATATTCAAAATGGATGGGGATAAGAGCCCAGGACCAGATGGTTTCTCTGCGGCTTTCTTTCAATATGCCTGGCCAGTCATTGGATGTGAAGTAACTAATGCTATTCAATACTGTTTTGAGCAGGACAAAATCCCTAATCAAGTGAATGCAACTATTCTCACTTTGATCCCTAAAATACCTAATCCAGATGACATGAAAAATTTTAGACCGATCTCTTGCTGCAATATTTTGTACAAATGCATTTCTAAGCTTATTGCAAATAGTTTAGCCCTCTCTCCTGCTCTGATCAGCAAAAATCAAACGACTTTTGTTAAGGGCAGGACTAATAGGTGAGAATATAATGATGGCTCATGAGCTGGTTAGCAAGTACTCACATAATAAAGTATCTCCTCGATGTGCTTTAAAGATTGATCTGATGAAAGCTTTCGATTCATTTGATTGGTCTTTCATATTCCAAGTTTTGAAGTGTATGGGGCTCCCTGATAGATTCATTACCTGGATTAAAATGTGTGTTAGCACCCCAAGGTTGAGTGTGTGTTTCAATGGGGTCTGGTAGGGTATTTTCCTGCAAGGAAGGGTTTTAGGCAAGGGGACCCTCTGTCCCCTTACCTATTTGCAGTTGCTATGGAGATTTTTACCTGCTTGATAGATAAGTCTGCTACTGCAGGGAGGTTCCCCTATCACCCAATGTGTAAAGGGATTAACCTTACCCACCTCTGCTTTGCTGATGACCTGCTGGTCTTCACTGATGCTTCAAATTATGGGATACAGGAGTTGCAGCGGATTTTGGTTCAATTCAGGAAAGTATCTGGTTTACAGTCTAACCCTAGTAAGTAGAGTTGTTTTTTGGAGGGCTACCTCTGGAGGAGAGGGTAATCAGAGCTGCTAGGTATGGGTATAAGCTTGGGGAATTCCCTGTTAGATACTTGGGGGTTCCCTTGATTGCTGGTAAGCTGAGTATCACTGCTTGTAAACCACTCATTGAGAAGATAACTGCTAGAATTACTGCCTGGAAAGCCAAGTCACTGTCGTATGCAGGGAGGATAGAACTTGTTGGCACTGTTCTTTACAGTTTGTCTCAATTCTGGATGTCTGTTTTTATTTTGCCTCAAGCTGTGATTAAGGAAGTGGAGAAGTTGTGTAGCAACTTTATATGGGGTGTGGAGAGAGGAGTTAAACTCAGAGCCAATGTTGCTTGGCAGAAGATAACGTTTCCAAAAAAAGAAGGGGGCCTGGGATTTAGAGATATGAAAAGTTGGAACCAGGCGTGTGCCTCAAGGCACATATGGCAGATCCTGCTCAAAGAGGGATCTTTATGGGTGGCTTGGATATCCAAGTATAAGCTCAAGGGGGGATGTTTATGGGCTCACAACAGCAAGGCAGGATCTTGGAATTGGTGCAGAATCCTGAAACTTAGAGGTAAAATCTTTCCATTCATATCCAGCAGAGGTGGTGTGTTTCTGCTTGATGGGATGCCAATGCCTCGTTTCTCAATTAAACGAGTTTGGCAGCTTATTAGGCCTGCTCAGCAGAAGGTTGACTGGTGGAGGTTGGTTTGGCAAGGGGTGACTGTTCCAAGTAACCGATTACTGACTTGGTTGATTATTAGAGGCAGCATTCCCACGAAAGAGAGTATGCAGAGATGGGTTTTCAAGGTTCGATGGAATGTGTTCTGTGTGGTGATGGAGTAGAGAACAGGCAACATCTCTTTGTACTCTGCCCTTTTTCTAGGCAGGTTTTGAATTCTTTGTTACAGGTTTATGCAGATCCCACAGCATCAAACATGGGAGGACATGTTATTATGGATGATTGAGAAATATAACAAGAAGGAGGAGGTGGCTGAAACTGGTAGGATGATATGGCAAACATGGCTCAGTCACCTCTGGAGAGAGAGATGTCGGCGAATGTATGGTGGTGCTACGGTGAGGGGATTAACTGATCTGATCTTGAGTATGAAAGCTGAGGTGGTTCATGTCTTGGGGAGTGAATGAGTGCAACATTTCTGGGAAAGCTAGTTTTTTCTGTTTCAGAGGTAGGTTCAGATTAGTAGGTTGATTTGTTGTTATGTTACTGAATGTTATTATCCCCTAGCTAGCAAGGTTGTTTCTAGCAACTCTCTTTTTGATGAATATATAACCCGCTGATTCATCAAAAAAAAATAAAAAACCGGATATGCGAAGAATAAACAATAGGGTAAGCCTATGGTGACATGCATGTCACCGTAACTTATAATGTTCGATCGACCTAATCCTAACACAGGTCGACCAAATACACTAATGTGGGCACCCTGATGACTTATCACGGTCTACCTTTAAAATGTAGTGGTCAACTGTTTTTAGTTTTAGTTGTCATTGTTGGTCGACCACAATAAAACATCGGTCGCCCTTTTCATTGGCATGAGAAGCAAAATGGTCGACCGTAAATGTATATAGGCCGAACACTTGATGGCGGTCATTAACAAAATGGTCGACCAGATAGCAGAGAAGTGTTGTATTCTATAATCATCATTTGACGTAAAAATGAAGATCAAGTGTTGGTTTCGCGGTCGACCCCGTACCGGATTAGGTCGATCGAATATAGGAAAATCAACCTATGCTCTGTGTATTTTTTAATTTGCTTATGTATGTCGATGTGGGTGGTTCTTTTACCGGTACAAATTACGTTTCAAACCAACAGAATCAGTCATAAATAATGATAATAAGGACTCATAACTTCATAACATAACAACTAAAACCACATAATATCAATCCAAAATCGATTTTAACACTTAACAATAAAAATACACAATCTAAAATCATCGAGTTCCTACTCATGTCCCCTCTCTCCCTCATCCATATTTTCTTCATTGGTGTTGCTAGCATTATGGTAGTCGGATGTGGTGGGATGCATGTATCTTCCACTGAAAGATCGAAACTCATCTCACATCTCATTCACGGTCACCTGGAGTGTGCTCATCTGGGTGGTCATTTGCCTATGTAGTCGTACATGCCAGTCATCTGGGTGGAAATCTGGCTCATGTCACTACAAAAAAGACTGGCAGATGTTACTAGACGATTGACGTCACAAAAGGCCTTTTCTCGTCACTAAAAGTTTATTCTGACGAAATACGATCGTTAGCGGGTCGTGGGGTAAAGGTCCGTAGGTAATAGTATAATAAAACTTGGCGTCATAAAAACATTTTTTGTGAGGATAAATTATCCTCAAAACGCAATTTATCGTTGTCAGAAAAGAAATACCCTTGAGGAAAAAACTTGACGAAAAGTTTTTGTGAGAGAGGAAAAACTATTTCTAAGGAAATTATTTTGTCAGTTTAAGTATTTGTGAGAATATTTTTTTGTAAGCAATAATATTTTTTTGTTAATAACACTTTGAAATTTCCATCCCCAAAATATCCTTATGTTTTTTGTGATGACTTGTTTATTGTTAGAAAAGGTTGTATACCAATAAGATCGATTAAGCGATGTTATGAGCATACCAATAAGAAAACTCGTCCTTCGACGTTGGTGGGTGTTGCTTCCCCATCTCCACCGGTGACTGCTCTTCTCACCTCCATTGAAACCCCAGAAAAATAAAATAAAAAATACCAAAGGGGTCAGAATCGGATCAAAAGTCTCAAGTATGCAATGCATCTTGGCTTGGGTAACCGACGACAAAGAAGAAGAGTGATTGTCAAAAAACAGAATCATCTCCATAAATTCTCAGCATGTCACTTATGAGTTCTGGACTTAACATGAACCAGTCAGACCCTTGAACAAATATCCCTTTTCACTCATAGCGATTACAATGAAACAACACTAGATCAATCAACGGAATAAAGGATCATGATGCTGAATCGCTGAAAGGGGAAAACAACAGTGGATACTCGATTGGGGATTGGAAAATTTATTTAGGGTTCGAAAAAAAATTCCCGATTGAGAGAATCAACTCAATCGAAGGCCTCCAAAACACTTACCTTGTGATTTGGATCTCCGGTCGAGGAGATGAGAGATGAGAGATAAGAGGAGATGTGTCGCGCTTGCGGCTTCACCATCAGAGGGTGGACGAGAGATCGAAAGGGAAGAAGAAACTGTTCAATAGAGGGTTAGGCGGCAGTGAATTAGGGTTTAACTTCTAAGTGAAGTTTATATACCCCTCCTCACCCCAGCGTGTTTACCTTTACCCTTGTAACTTACCAAATTCTCAAAATCTCTTTTTTTTTTTAATAATAAAACTCATAATCTCTTTCCTTTTACATCACCGAAATAAATCTTTCATTTTAAGTGTATCTAATCCAAAATTAATCAAATTAAATAATTATATAAGTGACAAGTAACAATACACTTACCCTATTAAGCGATTAAGTAGTACCGATTTAGATTGTTGCAGGGTCTAGGCATAAGCGAAGCCAGATTCTTTGGGCCTTGTCCCAGGACTGGGGTAAATTTCAGAGGAACAAAAATACGCCATATATTTATATTGGTGATGGAACACAACACCTATAGGTAGAATTAGAGTATTATGTCACTAGAGCACAACTCATTATGTGTTCATAAATTGACATAAAATTAATTTATTATACTATAAACGAAATTTCAATTGCAATATAGACCTAATCAGATATCTTTTCTCCTTACGCCTATTTGATTTTTTCCTCCAGCAACTCTAAAATTGTCTAGCGACAACGACAATTCCACTAGTTTTGATTCTATCAATTACAACTGCATGTGTAAAAAGAGCATTTTTCAGCTTTGAGTTATATTAAGAACAAGTTTCAAAGTCGATTTGGCGACCAGTTTGATAATGCTTGTTTAAAGAGATATATAGAAAGACACTTATTTAATAGTGTGTAGATAACAAATATTTTTGAGTTTCTTTCACATTATGAAATTCATTCGTGGTTGTTTATGAAAATAATGATTTTAGTCAATTATTTTAATCTATGAACGAATTATTTAGATATAATTAATTTTAATATTTTTATTAAATCATTCTTAATTAAATACTGATATATTTACATTATGAAAAGAGGACAAGGGTGGTTTGAAATGTTGCATCCGCCACTGGGTGTAGGGCACTCCTTTGCACATATACCTTAATTGGACAAATTGAACTTGTACATGTACCTTATGGTAAAAGTTCAATTGAACTTGTACATTATATTTATGGTCAAATTCAACTTGTACATATACCTTATGGTACAGATTAAAAATAATTTTGTACCTGTACTATATAGTACAATTTGTATTTGAATTGAGTTGTGAGTCAATACAATTATATAGATCAATGAAGTTAAAAAGTCGCACTTGATTAAGTTAAAAAGATGCGACAATTTTTTGTCCATAGGTGGCACTGGGAACGAATATATTTAAATTAATAATAATTTAATAAAGAATCAAAGGGATATTGATTAACTGTTAACAAAAAACTAAAGTAGCCTAATTGGTTAAGTATGTTGTCTTTTTTTTACAAGGTTCAGGATTCAGGGTTTAGGGTACAAGGTATAGGATTTAGTATTTTTAGGGTTCAGGATTCAGGATTCAGATTTTACGGTTTGGAGTTTAGTTTAAAAAAATTAATTAAATAATTGGAAGCAATTTGGAGAATCGAAACTCATGTCTTCTTGACAAAAACATATGTACTAACCAATTAGTCTGATGAACTTTCACGTATATTGATGTAGGCCATTATTTTTATTGCTTTACAGATGGTGCCTAAAATAAAGGGACAAAGCCATCGTCTTCTTCTAATCGAGAACCCTTGGTTGTTATCGTTTCATCTGCCCATACAGAACCCTTGTCCATTTGTGTTCCATGGTTGAAGTACATCCATGACTTTCTCTTTAATTTCAACTCTTAAAACTAAGAATTTGTTTATATGTAACAAAAAATTTCTGACAAACGAAATTTGTCAATAATATTCTACTTTCCATGACATTTTTTGCATATTATTGACGACATACAAATTCTTCACAGAAAGTGTTTTCCTCACGAAGGTTTTTCAATGAAATAATCACTTGTGATGACCATTTTTTCAAGCCACTTTTCTAACAAACGTTTATCGACGATCAAATACGTTCCCTCATAAAAAAAATATTTTCTCTGAGAGATACAAAAATTCCTAACAAATAATACTATTTCCAACAACATTTTCCGAGGACAAATTTATGTCCTCAAAAATAATATTCAGGAAATTTTCCCTCCTTTTCGGCGTCAAAAAAACATATTATTTCTGACGTCTATTTCAATTTGGTCATAAATAATTTGTATTTGTGACAAAAAGTTGAAATATCCTCGGTAAAAGTGAGATGGCATTCCTCGTATTTACGATTTTGACTTATAGTGACGAATGTTTTGGGCTTTATTGACAACTTTTGATGTTCATGACAAATATGTTACGTTTTTATGAGGACGACAAATTTTTGTCACAAAAAAAGTTATTTCCAACCAAAAAACACTGTCGTCAAAAGGATTTCGTCACTTCTGCCTGTCTTTTTTGTAGTGTGTAGTCGTACATGTCATCCATGCGCTTCCCAAATAGGTCGACCATTTGCTATAAAAGGTCAACTGCGTCGTGAAGCTCACAAAATTGAAACGGCATATTAGCTCGACCTAATCCTATATAAGATCAACCTAAAAGTACATATTAGATCGACCTAATCCTATATAAGGTCGACTTAAAATGACAAATTACTGTGACCTGCATGTCACCGTAGCAAAGTCCTAAACAACCGTAAGATTCGGTAACATGATCAATAAAAATATTCATGAACTAACATGAATAACTAGCACACGAACATAATTAAATCCTATAATCATCATAGTATATTCAAAAATTCATCCGACCAATGATCACCCGGTTTGAACGAGTTTATTAGTTAACAAAGATGGCTGCATACCATTCATCTTACCTAACCCCCATTCTGGCTTTTCTAGAACACGAGCGTACGTAACTGACGATATAGTCACTAAAATATCCAATTCAAAGGAAAAACCGCGCCATCTAATCGCACTATATATAAGCACTGTCACTCCCGCTTCATTCACCCATCACAAAGCTCGATCGATCGATCGATCTCCTTCACCCTCAAAAGCTCGAAATTAAAAAAATGGCATCAACGGTTTTGAACCATGAAGCCGATCGCCTCGCCCAGCTGAAGGCATTCGACGCGACAAAAGCCGGGGTGAAAGGCCTTGTCGACGCCGGCGTAACCGAGGTGCCGGCGATGTTCTACACGCCGGCTCACCTCCTCGACAACAAACCACCGCCGGCCGGCGACGAAAAGAAGTTCACTTTCCCGGTCATCGACCTCCAAGGCGTGGCCACCGATCCGGCCAGACGGAAAGAGATCGTGGAGAGAGTGAGGGATGCTTCCGCCACGTGGGGGTTTTTCGAGGTGCTGAATCATGGGGTTCCGTTGAATGTTCTGGAGGAGATGAAGGACGGAGTGAAGAGGTTCTACGAGCAGGATCTGGAAGAGAAGAAGGAGTTCTTCACTCGGGATTATACGAGGAAGATTGTGTACAACAGTAATTTTGACTTGTTTACTGGGCAGGTGACCAACTGGAGGGACACCAACTGTTTTTTTACATGGCTCCCGATTCCTCCCAGCCCCAACAACTCCCTGCCGCTAACAGGTATATATAGTATAGTGATCATATGAAAAGTGTTAATCAATGTTCCAATAACTCAAGAACCTAAATTTTACATTAGAACCTATTTTTCTTTCAATTTAGAACCTAAAATTTATTTCTTTACAGAAGGTCCAAAAAATTTTGTGGTAAGATTAATTATGATTTAGTACCTTTATATTTTTACCTTGCACTAGAGGATCTAAAGTTCTAAAATTTTAGAAACAAGTCCATTCTGTTGTTAGCGAAATTTCATATCACTAGCTGTTGCTATGGATCATAGGCTAAAGAATGACCCGACCCTAAATTGTCTTGACACTAACCGATTCTTACAGGGACAAAAGATGACCCAACCTTAACTGAGCCTGTAGAGAAAATGAGAGCCGATCAGGGTTTTTGGGTATCTAGGGCCAAACTTACATCATAACTAATAGGTCTTCTATTGGAATTCTAGTGACCTCCATCTGTGTTGTTAAACACATGATATCCAAACATGTACAAACTTCAAACATATACGAGTGGCATTTTTTTAGAGGGGCGTGTGTTAATAAATGATACATAATTAAGAAACTTCTCTCATCAATTCGAGTTATTGAAACCAATTGTTTCTTGACAATTGATCTACTTAGGAATCGACTAGCTAGTGTATATTAACAAATCTTGGGATATCTGCAGGGAAATCCTGATGGAGTATTCCAAGGAGATGCTGACATGGGGTACCTGATCTTCGAGTTGCTCTCCGAGGCTCTTGGGCTCGAACCAAACTACCTTAGGAAACAAGGAATGCTTGATGGGACATAACTTTGTATGTCACTATTACCCACCGTGCCCGCAGCCTGATAAAACCCTAGGAGCCAGCAAGCACGCAGACACTGATTTCATGACCATTCTCTTACAAGACCACGTCGGAGGACTCCAGGTCCTTCACCAAAATCAGTGGGTCGATGTGCCTCCATTGCCGGGCTCCCTTGTCATCAACATCGAGATCTGCTACAGGTAACTAACTAATCAAAGACCGTTGTATATATTTTGAGGTCGCGATATAGTTTGTTTTCTTGTGTTTCAATATATAATCTACTGCGTGCATCCTGATTTTGTATATGGTTGAATTTTTCTTTTTTTGTCCAGCTTATGTCCAACGACAAGTTCGTCAGCGTGGAGCATAGAGTGCTGGCGAATCGCAGTGCTGGGCCGAGGGTATCCGTCGCGTGTTTTTTCAGTACGGGGATGTTACCGAACCCGAACAAGTATGAAACCCATCGAGGAACTCTTGTCGGAAGAGAATCCTCCCAAGTACAGGGCGACCACGGTTTCGGAGTACGTGACCTTTGTTACGAACAAAGGGCTTGATGGGAAATCTCCTCTTCTGCATTTCACGGTCTGAGATGAGTAGTAGTATTGTTATGAGAAGAAATTGGGAATGAAATAAAATGAATTCAGCTTGAATGATTAGAATGTGACTGAAACAAAAATGTAAGAGTGGGGTGTAAGATGACTAATAAGTTGTTACAACTTATATATCTATGTAAGCTTGGGCAGTGCTACTATGCCATATGTGCTGATATTTCTAATAAAATAAAAGGGTGTCTGGTATTGTATTACCCACTTAATTATATTAGAAAAAAATATTATCATATTATTATATGTTGTGCAATTCATATTTTTATTATGTAAATATTGATATATGGATGACCAATGACCTACCACATTAGATGCTCACTTGGGAGTTACATGTAACCCCTATTTCTACATCATTATCTCTCATTCATATGAATTGATATAAAGATGTAGTGGTTACCAAAGTGTGCCTATAAATATAGCACACTATTGTATCAAAGTGAAGAATGAATAAGAAGAACTCTTCCCCTCTCTTCTCTTGTGTCTTTCCCTCTCTAATCTTCTCTTGTAGTTGTTTATATTTTCCATTAGTTTCATAACACGTTATCAGCACGAAGTTCTGCCAAAATTATCATTGCTAAGATCACAATATCTAAGATATTGGAGTAAGATCACAATATGATCAAGGTATGTAAATCTTATATCCTTTCTTATCTTATTGTCTAATTTGTGTTGAGATTATCTCATTCCAATATATCAAGATGAGTGCTACTCTTTTCTCGTATCCATTGATATTTTAATCGCGCAATCTATTTGGATTAACAAGAAAAGTAATATAAATGATGAGTTAATTTTTCAGTTCTCTGTGTTATCCAATTCTTATCAATCCCACATTGATATGTAGAAAATGCAAGTTCAAAGAGCCCATATATTCCCCAAAAGTGGAAGTTGAAGAATTCAAGGGCAAAGAAAGAAAAGAACATGGTAATAAGAATATTGGTTTTGTATGTTACCATTGTAATGAAAAAGTGCGTTTGTCTCGTACCCGTTGTACACAAAAGACTTTATTATACCAAGAATCAAAGAGAATAGCAAATTCAAATATGCTTATGCAATATCAATATTATGGAATATATTTTTTGTAATATAAGTTTATATATTCTCCATTAAAAATTAAAATGATATTGCACTTGAGACATTTTCATTCCCAGAAGTGAATGAAACAATCTATTCCCCGAAGTGAATGGAACTGTAAACATAATTATATATATGTTAAATGTATTGTTTGGATCTTTTCACCTGAAGTGAGAAAGAGGGGGAAAATGAGAATTATAAATAAGAATGACATAACAATTGCATTATCAAAGTCATGATAACATAATGTACCAGTGATGGTATTGTTCAAATAAAGCTTATTTAATTTCACAATTGTATTATTATGATTCTTATTTTCTTTATGTTTTATTGTGACGTTATTTTTCATACATAATTTAATTTGATATCTTTACCGAGAACAATTAACTTGATAAATTCATCATTTTATCTTAAGTTTGAACTATTCTGAATTTATTATTTTTAGTATGTTTTTGTAAAGTATGAGTGTTGAAAAAATTCAATATAAACTATATGATAGAGTACATAAATAAGAAAAGGCTTCCGAAGAGCTTATGTTTGGTTACTTGAAGTAACTAAATTGTACTCGTGATAACAATTTGTGATGATATTCATCATGAATATGTGTTTACTAAGAATGCATCAAATCATAAGTCCCCGGAAGGGCAAAATATGATAAAGCTCTAAAAGGGCTAATGTTTTATGTGATATTAGTACTATCAGTACGCATAAAAGTGTAAGCCAAAAGTTTACAAAATTTGATAACTTGATAATTTGGTTGGTCCAGTTAGACCATCTCGGATCTTGATGTGGAAACAAAGTTGTTTGAGAATTCATGAGAACATCATATGAGAAGTCAAAGAACTCTTCAACTAAAAGAGTTATTATGTCATGTTTTTTCTCAAGGAGAATAGAAAAATTGATCATCGCTTGTATAAGAGTTGACAAATCTCTTGAGATTTTATGGACGTGTATGCAGAACAATACATCAGTCATTTGGATCATTTGTGAATTTTATGAGTGACTACATCAAATGGATGATCACATGTATTTTATCTAATCGCAACCCGATGTTTGCGAGATTGATTGCCTCACTATGGATACATTTTGATGGTTATCCAATCAAACATCATTTTGCTTAAGAGAACAAGCTGAGCCTTCTGGTCTCTTGTCGAGGACATGCTAGCTGGCAAGTGATAGTATTGGTTCACATCTAACCAACAAGTTATCATAAGTTCCCCCCTTTTAGAATTGATTTTGGTAAAAAACCTAACATTTCTCATATGAGAATATCAGGGTGTGCCGCATACATCCCACTTGCTCCACCACAGTATCTTAAGTTGATTCTCGTTGGAAGTTGAGAATTTGTGTTGGGTATGAATCCCAAATGGGAAATTTGTTTGCGAAATTATTGTTTTGATGAATCACTTTTCAAACATTAAGGGGGAGAGAAAAAAAAAACAGCTAGACAAAGAGATGAGTTGGAATGAGTTATTATTTAGTTTTGATCCTCAAAGTAAGAAACCTGAACCTGAAGTTCATAAGATGAATTATCATTACCAACTATCAAATGCCTTTACTGACCATACAAAGTGACCAGTCACATATACTAGCTGTAAATGCTCCAACTAAATTTGATATCATTGTTGAGTACTTTAATATAAAAAAATGTGTCTAAAGAACGCATGAAGCGTGATAGACCAATCGGTTCCAATGATAAGCATCCTCGAGAAAGAAAAGGAGTTGTAATTAGAATGGTCAACTCGAGGACATGAACACTCAAGAGAGTAACCAAGAATAAAGTAAGATTTTAGTTCCAGAAGAACACATGTGTATGAAATTTGTGAAAGTGAAGAGATCTCAAAAACATATTGGACTACAAGACTGGAACCGTAAAGAAGTCATTGTCGATGAAATTTGTTTGTTGTACTTCCGTACTGAATATGATATGTACAAGTGAGGATCAAGAGTAAAACTCTATTGATGCATGCAAATGATGATGTTATTGGCCAATATAGAAAGAAATCATGAAACTTGCTCAAGGAGCATAAAGTTTAAGGACCAGAAGTCCTTGCACCTAAAAAAGGGCAAAACTAGCGGGATACAAACAAATTTTTGTGCTATTGGAAAGTATGAAAGTGTGAGAGATATCGCATAATGTTTTGCAATGGGTTTCTCGAAGAGACCTATCATTGTTTAAGAGGAGTTATACTCCCCTGCATGTGGTGGATGCAACTACTTTTTCAAATTAATGTTTGAAAATTATTGTGATAGCCTATTTGTTTGAATTCCCTGAAATTCCCAGAAGGATTAATTTACCTGAAGTAAACAAGTAAAGTTCTCGAGAACATATATAGATAGACTAAGAAAATCCCTTGTGTGGGTTGAGAGTTGAGACAATATAGACGAATGTGAAATACTCATCTAAGTGAACACCTACAACAGTAGGGTGAATGGGCCTTAAAAGGTTAAATTCAAATAGAGTGCATATATAGTCTGTGTTGTTCTCGTAGGCCATTTTGACCGGAACTGTTCCTAGGCCTTTCTATTAACCCCAACAATCTTACAATATGGTCTGTGTTGCAAACTACATATTAAGCCCAAGGCCCACTAACTTGATAAATCTTACTACTCGTATAGTTTCCGACTGGGCTTCTGCTCTGAACTAAATCATGTCGGCCCAGGCCCAATAACTTGACAATAACCTACATATTTTATTGATTTAAAACTTCAATATTCATATTATTAAATATAAAAGAAATGTAATATTAACAAAAAATAGAAAATACGAGTAAAAATTTGAAAGAATAAAAAGTAGTCAAAATAGGTATTGTTAAATTTACTTTATATGAATTCATATTAATTTCTAATTTATTCTATTTTAAATTATATAGATGAAGAAAAGTATGTTTTCTAAAAAAAACGGTAAGGATAATCTTGTATTTTCTTTTTTCTTTTTTTTTTTGGTAGGATAATCTTATATTTTTAAAACAGTTTTTTGACGAATTTTCAAATTAGAGCTTATGCTTATATATTATAATTTTTTTTAATTTTACAAAAATTGAGCTTATAGAGGTGTTCGGCCTCACTTAATCTTTTGAAGAAGCAAACCACCTATAAAAGTCGGGCCAAACACAGAGTATGATCAATATGTGATGCAATCTTTGGTTGGACAAATCGAATGCGTCACTAAAACTCTACCTCTTGGGTAACTAATTTTCGTAGGGTAAAATATACGAGATGTCACGTGTTTCCAAAAAAAAACTATACAACAATAAGCTATACACCCCATTACATTATCAAATTTCATACCTTATATACCTTCCTCCGGCCAAATAGCCGGGGCCACGCTAATTTTTTTAGTGATTAGCAAGATGCACTTGCAACTGGTGGCCGGGTTAACTACATTTTTTGATACTATTATAGAAGTATAAACCCTTACAATAATAAAATAACAATAAACATGAAGTGTTTTACAACTCATAATTGTATTAGAGAAGAAGTTAGTAAAGGGATAAAGTTTCCAATTACAAGAAGAAGCACTGAAGCAACTTGTTATTTGTCACATACGTAGTGATTAAGTTAATTACTTGATTAGTTATGGGATTATTATTATAGCTGATCAGTGTCATCAGTAACCACTTCCATTGTTTTGGAGTCATGAGTGAGAATGTGCTGGACCGCAATCAAAAGATTCAATCCTGTTTTGTTTTTTTCCCCCTTTCTTCTAATGATTCAATTCTATAATTAATGGTTTACTAGTTTTCTAGCCCACACTTCGCTGCGTTAATAATTTAACTACGTTTAAAGTTTTATCTACTCAATTAATGATTTAATTGAAATCAAATAATTCACAAATCTTACAATTATTCTTTCATAAGGTTTACTTAGTATCTTAATTGTTACATAATACTTATGCAATAAGTTTGTTTAGTTGATACGTAAAGTAATTATCCTCTTATAGGTTCTATGCAAGGTAGTTGTAATTTACGTAGTTGTTATAAAACAATATTGTGTAACTCTATCATAATATGTGCTATAATAATAAAATTAAGTGATAAGTCTATTGAACTATTATGTAAAATTAACTTAATTAGTGGAACCATTGTGTAATGCAAATTGATGTGATGTGAATATTGTATTTAATAGTAAGTTAATTATGTTAAGATAAGTATCATATTTGATGATATTGTTATGCAAAACTAATTGACCGTACGAAAAATTTGTGTAGTGGCAATTGATGAGATGGTCAACAATTTTGTTAAAATTTAGAAATTTTAATTTCATTCAACTTATATTAAATAAAGTTTTTATTATGTATATTTAATTGATACATAAGAAATCGCTATCCCTCGATAAGTTTTGTGTAGAATCTCATCATCATCAGAAAAAACTTGCATAATATGTTACGTTTAATTGATACGTAAAAAATAGTTATCTCTTTGTAAGTTTTACATGATATATTTGTTACATAATTATTATAAAATAATGTTATGTAAATCATGTCTAATAATAAAATTAAGTTAAAAAAAGGAATCGCATTTCATTAAAATTCATTTTACGAAACAGATGAGAACATGGCAGGTAAACAAAAAAGAAATCTGCTTCCATTAACATTTAATTGCAAACAAAAAAAAAAAGAACTCAACCAATAGTGTACCTCCACCCATACAGGTTGTAGGCGGAGCCTGCAAACTGGGTTGCAGGTAAATATCGTCCTATTAGAATCGACAATGAGATGCTTTAGTTCTTATTTGAATAATCCCCAGTCGATAGTCTATTCAGAAGGGAAAATGGTGGGGCATTGCGGCCATATATGTAGTTTGAGACGTCAATCCATTGACACAATTTGGGGTAATAATCTCATCTTAGTGTTACCATGAAGCAGTTAATTAACTAAACAAAAAATTGAAGCACTTGTACTCGTTCTTTTGTCCTAAACTGTAAAGTAGTACGAAAATATACAAAAGTAAAGAAGATAGAGAACATTTTACATATACTAACAAGGAAAAATGAGTTTATATAAAAAAAAGTATCATAATAAAGTGAAGTCCTAAAGTTAATTAAGAGAGGAGAGGAGAAAAGTGGCCACCGAGTGTCATGCTATGGGCTGCAATTAATGTGTTACCCATGCACATATTGCAATTGGAAAAGGGAATTGATGCACGACAGCTGGAGCATGGCATAAATCAAAGATGTGTTCAGAATAGGAGCAACAATCTCCATCCATGCAAGACCAAACCATTCTAATCTTTTTCCAAACCACCAGCTTCTCCTTTTTTTTACCATCCATAAACCACCACGCACCTCTTCATGACCATCTCAAACTAATGAATCTGGCAATCTCTTCAATTCGGTAATCGGCGATTCTACCAGGTCACCGAAACTGGTGAACCTGTTGGGAGCGGAGTTTGGGGAAGATGGAAAAGGGTACGCAATCAGAAATACTTGCGACTCTTCAAAGACCGCACCGCTCAAAGGCTGGAGCTCAGCGCAACCGTTTCTGAGAAGTAAACCTACTCCGATTCGCCCTTGATCTACACACTACGGGTGTTATCCTGATTGAATATCTGGAAGAAATAGGCTACTCTATCGGCGGCGATTTGGCTCCGGCAAAAGACGGGTGAGGAAACGATGCAAAAAAGAGATAAAAAGGATAGAGTAGGTGAAGTAGAGGAAGTGGTTTTTCAGTGCTGTCAGTTTTAGGTGAGCCTCCCTATTTAATGGGAGAAATAAATTCACCCACGTTTAAAACTTGACCAGCCCAAAGTGATACATACATACAGACTCACCTAAGATTAGCCGCAGCTGAACCCAAAACCCCTTGGTGAATAGTGAATCCGAAATTTTCTTATGGAACAGTACTTTTACGTGTGATTACTCGGGACTTAATTATTCTAACTAATAATAATAATAAATAATAATATTTATTTTCAAACGGGTGGATCACGATAAACTGTGATGACTCCATCTCGTGATTGTTAGGATATATTACTACAGAAGTGCTCTTAGACACTAATGTAATCACTTCTTTTCTCTACTTTGTTTTTACTATATATGTTAAGGTTGATGAAATAAATAACAATTTCAATTGTATGTAGTAAGAAAGAAAAATCAACGTTAGAATCACTAGACTAAGTCTTTATTCGCTAGTAAAATAGCTCTCTTATTTGAGACATAAAAAATTCCAAACTATTCACTTTCTCTAAATATAAATATTGAAGTACATCATTCATGAAAGATCCCAATTAAATAGAAAAACAAGGACCAATTGGAGGGAACAAACTCCTAAAATATACTTAATCAAACCACGCTCTCCTAAAATACTTGGTGAGTAGAAGATGGAGAATATTGATTAGCATTATAACGACAGGACGCTAGAGGTCATATGGCAGGTGCTCCTAAAATAAAATACTTTGGGGGAAATATATAGACATGAATCAATATCAGATGGAATTATATTGCAGAAAGAAAGCGTATAATTGATCGATAAGCCATGGCAGTAGTACCTTTACTTGTGCTGGCCGCCGGCGTGTTTGCTGCTGCAGTACTACTCATCATCATCAGGAATATTATCAGCAGCAGCAACAAACGATCGCAGCCAGGAAACAAAGCCCGACGGCCGCCGAAGCTGCCGATCCTTGGGAACCTCCACCAAGTGGGAAAGTATCCTCACCGAACTTTCCCCGGCTTGGCGAAGCGCTACGGTGGCCCTGACCTCATGCTGCTCCACTTTGGCAGCAGGCCGGTATTAGTTTAGTGGTCTCCACCTCCAAGGCGGCGCGTGAGGTGATGAAGACCAACGACCTCATCTCCGCCGACCGGCCAGATCTGAAAACCGCTAAGAAGCTTCTCTACGATAACAAAGACATCGCCAACGCTCGCTACGGCGAGCACTGGAGGCAGGCCAGACGACTGTGCGTGCTTCATCTCCTCACCAACAAGAAAATCCAGTCCTGCCACGCTTTGAGGGAGGAGGAAATCGGGTTGCTGGTCAATCGGATTCGAGAAAGTGCCCAAACAGGCCAGGTAGCTAGTAATTAATTGGTGATTAGATATTCCAAAATTGCTTCCAATTAATTATAACGTAGGTACTGATTTGACTCTTTCTACTAGGGGTGGGCATCGGTGCGGTTCGGACCGCACCGCACCGTATTGATATAAACCGAACCGCACCGCATTCAATTGGACCGCACCGCTTGTTCGACCGCAATGTTATTGGTGCGGTCAAATCAAATCGCATATGTTAGCGGTTTGGAGCGATTTGGACCGCATCGCATGTTTGACCGCAATTCATTATGAATTAAATAAAATTACTACTGTCATTACCAACCGAGACCGAGAGCATCAACACTCTGTTTCTCTAGCCACCGAAACAGAGCACGCCTTATGCTAATGACTACTGGCGAACGGAATGAAGCTGTAACTTGGCAAATGTTCATGAATTATGTCGAATAAAACATAAATCCATCGAAGCAGAACCCACAAAATTAAAACAAGGCTCATCCACTACAAACACTTCCCCTCCCACAACTAGATAACGATTTTCAAACAGCCTTCTTCTGTCACAACCTGTCTAGAGCACTGTCTCCATCACCCTAAGAATTTGCCAAGTTGAAACAAAAGATTAACAATACAATCGAACCAGGAAGACACTAATGAATGAACAGCTACATATTGAATGAAAATGAGAGGCTAAGGAAGAAAGCACAGCTTCTCAACCAGGAAAATCAGGCACTGTTCTTGGAACTTAAGCAGAAGCTTTCTAAGAAAAACCCCAAAGGTTCATTTGTTTTTTCACAGAGGCCTCCTACTGATGGAGAATGCAGAAATGGCCTTTGTTTTAGTTTTAACACAGAAATTTCAGTTACCCAGTTAGCAGTAATCACCAAAGTTTTAATACTTTTGTCCTGCCCATGTTGCTGGTGACAATACAAAGATGAGAAATGTGCAATAACCCATTTCTTTTGTTGTACCTTGTGTACAAATGGTATGATCAAAGAAGAAAGCTAGAAGCTCTACAACCTTTTACATGAATAGTACAGACACAGAGACATAGAAGAATATATAATGGAAGTAACCCCAAAAGTAAAAGCCATAAAAGAGAAGTAGAATGAATGAAAAGAAGAGCTCTTCTAAATGTAAGATTGAGCGTAAGCAGCTGATCCAGAGTTATTGTTCATCAAACTAACAGAAAACTAAAAGAAACTAACCACACTCTTTCCTCTTTCTTTCTGAAGGGTTTCTTTCATGAACAAATTCTTATTGAATCCGATTACAAATTATCAGAACATGCTTTTGAACATACTGGCATAAATGAAACAAATATGTCCAAGATGAAACAGAGGCAAACATCGTCTAATTAAGCAGACAAGCAAACAAAGAAACAGCTACAGCTCGATATTCTGCCGCAGTAAACAGGACAATAACACACACAAAAGAGAAACCAGACTTACCATTTCCCTACTGATTGATATAGAATTCACAGATTCACTACACCCTTATAAACAGATGAAAGAAAATAGTTAGAAAATGAGGAAATACACTAGCTAGTTAAACAAAGAGAGAAATTGATGGAGTTGTATCTTGCTTCCTGCTCCAAGAAGAGACCTAAAGCTGCAGCGCTTCCAACTGTAGTTTGCTCGATGTATCTAATTTTCAGGATTCCCGGAACCTAAATACACAGATTCAAAGATCAACGCAATAAGAAATCTCTAAGTCAAAGTAAGAAACAGCTCTGGATCCATTCTAAATCAACCGGAGTCTAATCATGGACACACAAGGGTTGCAGACTAACAGCATAACTGACTTCAGCACTAACCATTAAGAAACATCAGATTCAAGATAATAATGGAGGTTTGAACTATTGAATGTGAAATAAATATTAAGCTCTTATTCCATTTGGTTGGTTGGAAACTCTCGATCACCATTCCTTATTGATATCTAATCCATACCCTTCTCGATCACCATTCCAATACCAAAGACAGCAAGATTCAGTACTCAATAGAAAGCAAGTGCCAGATTCAACGGGCAGTTTCAAATTGAAGGGGCAAATGGACAAAGGAACTACTGAAATCCCAGAAAGGGGCTGTTAGAGTATCTAGAATCTATGCCTAGTAGAAAACCCACAAAGGGGTACAGGGACAACTAAAATCCGGAGAAGGAGAGAGCAAAACCAAGCACTGTAGCTCCGAGGGTATGAAAGGTCCAGATGGGCTTGATCTAGGAATTTCGGGAGCTCTCACCTCTTGGTGTTGTGCGACGTCGAGACGAACGAGAAGATGTGGTAGCGAGCGAGAGGTTGGGGGAGAACGGGTAGCGAGAGGATGGGGGAGATGGCGGAAGGCGACCTGCCGATTTCGAGTGAGAGTTTACTTTAGCGGTTTGCAGTTTTGAACCGCAATCGTGCGGTTTCGGATTGACCACACCACGAACCGCAAGCCGCAAAAAATTCAGACCGCATTTAGACCGCAAGACTAATGGTGCGGTTTGGCTTGACCGCAAAATCAGTTTGGTGCGGTTTGGAGCGGGTTGACCGCTCCAATGCCCACCCCTACTTTCTACGTAAGAATAAATGTGTGCATATAATAATTGATGGCAGGAGGTGAACTTGTGTTAACAGATGCAGAAACTGAATGTGGTTTTACGGAAAAGTAAATGAACACAGACACCGGAGTTTACGTGGTATCCCTGGAGATTATCCAGGACTAATCCACGGGAGAGCTTTGAATGCTCTTCAACTACTGATTTGCTGAGATGATCAGAGAACACACAAGTTACAGGCGGCACTCCACTTCTCCTACACCTTATACCCTCGACATGCCTAGGTTAGACTCAGCTCACGTCACTCTAACCTGTGCATGGGCCTGCATGGCTTCTACGATGGGCTTAACTACATGGGCCTCACTAAACACCTGATTACATCACAATAAATCATAGCCCATAACTCTTAATACGCTAACATCCTCCCCCAAATTGATGCCGATCAATTAGCATCAATTTGTTTCCCAAGTACCAATGACGACTAGTAGTCATGAATTGACTAACCACCTGAACTGCATAAGAAATATCAGGACGAGTAGCTGACATATAGATAAGACTTCCCACGATACTGCAGTATTGAGACCCATCTTTGAGAGGATCCCCACCTCTGTCTTTCTGTAGCTTCAAATTCAGTTCCATGGGAGTCTTAACTGGATGGCAGTTATCAAAATTATGATCACTGAGCAAGTCTGATATGTATTTCTATTGACTGAGAAGAATACCACGATCATTGCGACTAACTTCCAGACCGAGGAAGTAGGATAGATTCCCAAGATCCTTGATGCTGAAAGCTTGTTTCAGTCCATCTTTAAGACGTGAAATCCCCTTTGGATCTATTCTAGTAATCACCATATCATCGACATAGAGAAGAAGGACAACAATGCCAACCGTGGTTACCTGAGTAAAGAGAGATGGATCATTGAGACTTTGCTGAAACCCCAGTTGTATGATCGTGCCCTGGAATTTTTCAAACCAAGCGCGAGGTGTCTGTTTGAGACCATAGAGACCGATGCAATAAACAGACTTGATCTTCCCTCACAACAGTGTAACCAGGTGGTCTTTCCATATATATCACTTCCTCCAAGTCACCATGGAGGAAAGCGTTCTTCACATCCAATTGATAAAGAGGCCAGTTAAAAAGAGCAGCTATAGCGAGCAGGGTACGTACGGTGGACATCTTAGCTACCGGCGCAAAAGTCTCATTGTAATCCACTCCATGTTCTTGAGTATAGCCTAGAGCAACAAGGCGAGCTCTGTTTCTTTCAATTTTGCCATCGGGAAGGACCTTGATGGCATAAACCCAGCGACAACCGATAGTGGGAGGACATGGGACAGGATGATCAACCACTGTCCAGGTACGGTTGGCTTCCAAAGCTCCGAATTCCTCCTACATTGCTCGATCCCATATGGGATTTCCATGAGCCTGTTTAAAGGTAGTAGGAACAATGAGAGTGTCCACACTATAAGTCACATAATCATGCATGCTAGGTGGTGGTACTCCCTTATTGGAGCGCAAAGACCTCCTGGGAAGAATCTGTGCATCGTGGTCATCTGGTGAGGAAGGAGCCGAGGAGGACAATAAAGGGCCGCTGGAAGTGGAAGATGCTGAAGAGGATCCAGGGGTGCTCGGTTCATGGGAGGACAGATCAGGAGAGGAGGGAGCTTCTGCAGGATCATTGGTAATAAGAGGATCATCCTCTAAATCATCACCAAAAATGGGCAGCCGCATCGTACCACTAGGAAAAGCAATGTCAGAGATAGATGTGGTAGGATAAAAACTTTGATTCTCAAAGAAAACAACAGAGCCCGCAATCCTCATACGTTGTGTTGAGGGATCAAAACATAGGTATCCTTTGTGAACAGTGCTATACCCAAGAAAGACACAACGAACAGTTTTGGATGTTAATTTTGTACGCTCACGTTTGGGAAGAAGAACGAAGCAAAGACAACCAAATACTCGCAATCTAGAGTAATCGGGATGATGACCATAAAGAAAAAAATAGGGACTCTTTTGATTGAGAACGGGAGTGATTTGATAGTTGATTAGCCGGACTGCAGTCACTACCGCTTCTGGCCAAAAACGACTAGGAACAGAAGAATGAATGAGTAAGGCCCGAGTAAGTTCTATCACATGCCTATTTTTCCTTTCAACTAGGCCATTTTGTTGAGAAACTCCGGGACAAGACATTTGGCTAAGAATTCCTCGGGAGCGATAGACTTCATGCAAAGGAATTGAACTAAATTCCCCGCCAGGATCAGAACGAATAATTTTGACTGTTCTATTGAATTGAGTTTGGATCATATCAAGAAATTCAATAGCAGCAGAACGAAATTCAGATTTGAGCCAAAGAAAATAGATCCAGGTGTACCGAGTAGCATGATCTATGAACAGAGCAAAATATTTAAATCCCAGACGAGAAATGGTGGGGGAAGGCCCCCAAAGATCAGTATGAATAATGTGAAAAGGCTCATTTATCACAGTAGTACTGGACGTAAAAGAAATAGTTGAAGTTTTGGCTTCCACGCAACTAGTACAAGAGTGATTGATAGGAGTTCCAACTAGATTCTTTCCCAAAAGTGATTTGTTTAAACATAGCAGACAGACGACCTGAGTGTGGGTGCCCCAAACGAGCATGTCAAAGTTCCCACACCCTATTAGATAAACTAGAGAAGACTGGACTCATCACAGAAGATTTTTCAAAGAACTAAGAAGGACTACTAACAGACCTAGACACAGACTGGCTACTCAAAGGCTGACTCGAAGACGACACTGCATTGGATGGGAGCTCCTCCAAGTGAAAAATCCTCCCCTGTTTACTCCCCCTTCCGATCTAACTCCCTGTCCTCAAGTCCTGTATCACACAACCAGTAGGAGCAAACATAACACAACAACCCTGCTCAGTAAGTTGACCGACTGAAACCAGATTAGGAACCAAAGAAGCTACATGTAAAGTACGAGGCAATGATATGGTAGAAGTATCAACAGTTCCAACTCCTGTCACATCCATTCTATCCCCATTCGCCACTGTTAAACCATCATGACTAATAGAAGTAATATTATGAAGCACTTGTTGATCATTAGTCATATGGTTATAGCATCTGGAATCAAGTAACCAAGGTTTATGTTTTGCTTTACCTTGAAGAGTTGACAAAGCCGACCCTATTGTAGTAGGAAGAGATTGTTGCAAGGAGGCCACTGCTTGGACAAGCTGCTCCATTTGGGCTGCTGTGACACCCCCAGGAGCCGACCCACTAGATTCCCTTGCCTCAACATGATATGCAGGGCGAGTGTACCTACCTTGTGGACCTCGTCCACCCCCAGCTAGGGGCAGGTTACCAGCACTCCTTTCACCATTACGTTCAGCATTGCATTCCCGTGTCCGGCATTCCAAAATAATATGCCCCATTCGCTTACAGTACACACAATAATTTCTTCGGCGACAATGCTTCACGAGGTGCCCTTTCTCATGACAATGATGACACTCAAGCTTGGCATTAGGGACCCTATTATAAAATTGAGGACGTGTGACAGCAAGTACGTGGGAGTTATATCCCATACCTGACCGTGAGTGGGCAGCAGCTGCGGCAAAGGTCTCGCCTTCACCCGGGCGAACATCGAACTGGGCTTATGTTCTTAAACGAGTTTCTTCTCTAACTAGGCTGCTTATGACCCCATCGAAGGTAAGTTGCTCTCTGTTTAGAATGTTGGCACGAATATCCTCGTACTCGGGTCGCAGCCTCATTAGGAATTGCAAAATTCTGGATTGTTGCCGATCCGCGATCATTCCTTCTGTCATCGCTTCTGGATGGAGAGCAAGGTGCAGCATATCCTGTTCTGTCCATAACTCCTGCGAGGCGTTGAAATACTCAGTAATTGACCTATCACCTTGGGCTAAAAGTGCAAGTGTTGTCTCCACCTCAAATCTTCGAGCTGCACTAGTTGTGGAATATAAACCAGCCAGATGCCGCCACATTCTGTTGGCGGTGGGGAACACACGAAGACTCAGGCAGGTCGTGGGATCGACCACTCCCGTGAGCCACGAACGGATGCGGGCGTCACTTTGCATCCAAGAAGCCTTATCCTGATTAGTTGCCGTCGCAGCAGGTTGGGGAACAGTTCCATCCAAGATTCCCAATAATCCCTTTCCTTCCACAAAGATTCGAAACTGAAACTCCCACAGAGCATAGTTTGTTGAAGTGAGGCGTACCGTTGGCCTCTCCGGATCAGTCCCGGTAAGCTTTGATACCATGTTAACAGATGCAGAAACTGAATGTGGTTTTACGGAAAATTAAATGAACACAGACACCGGAGTTTACGTGGTATCCCTGGATATTATCTAGGACTAATCCACGGAAGAGTTTGAATGCTCTTCAGCTACTGATTTACTGAGATGATTAGAGAACACACAAGTTACAGGCGGCACTCCACTTCTCCTACACCTTATACCCTCGACATGCCTAGGTTAGACTCAGCTCACGTCACTCTAACCTGTGCATGGGCCTGCATGGCTTCTACGATGGGCTTAACAACATGGGCCTCACTAAACACCTGATTACATCACAATAAATCATAGCCCATAACTCTTAATACGCTAACAACTTGAGCACACTACTTCCCTGCTTCACCAAAGACGTCATCTGCAGGATGGCGCTGGGGAGGAAATACAACGAAAACACCATCTTTAGGGATCTTTTGGCAGAGCTCATGGAGTTGGTTGTTACATTAAGTGTGGGCGAGTTCATTCCTCAACTCTCGTGGGTGAGTCGACTCACTGGGTTCGACGCTCGAGTCGATAGGGTGGCTGGACGATTTGATGAGTTTCTTGATGGAGCGGTCTTGGAGAGCGGGACTCGTTTGGAGAACATGATAGAAAGGGGAGAAGAAGAAGAAGAAGGCGAATCACTAGCCTTTGTAGGAGTGCGGATCTGGTGACTAAGGGGGGTGCTTAGTCACTTGACTAAGCCCCTCCTAGCCATTAGATCTGGACACTTCAATCCAATGGTTAAAAAGTGGGAAGGGCTATTTAATTAATAGCAGGGGTAGTTTGGGTATTATGAAAAATTACAAAGTATACAAACCGGATTTACAATCAGTACAAACCATACAAACATACGAACAGTACAAACTAGAGCAACAAAACATACAAACATTACAAACGTATGAACTGTACAAACAATACAAACTAGACTGACAAAAAATACAAACCATACAAACATACGAACAGTACAAACTAGAGCGACAAAACATACAAACATTACAAACGTATGAACTGTACAAACAATACAAACTAGACCGACAAACAATACAAACCATACAAAAGGAAAAAACACCCGGGTTGACTTTTGAGGCTCCATCCCTATATAGAGGGGCTCCTTCCCAAAGTCAACCCGGGTGTTTTTTAGACATACAAACAGTACGAACATGGTGGACAAAAATGACAAACTAGACCGACAATCCATACGAACGGGAAAAAACACCCGGGTTGACTTTGGAGGCTCCATCCCTATATAGAGGGGCTCCTTCCCAAAGTCAACCCGGGTGTTTTTTAGACATAAAAAACATTACGAACATGGTGCACAAAAATAACAAAGTTTACAAACATGGTTAACAAAAATAACAAAGTTTACAAACATTACAAAAAAACCGACAAACGTTACAAAATAACAAAGCATACAAACATTACAAAATATGTCAACAAACAGTGAAGCAGCCGGAAAAAAATTTCCGATCAAAATATTTGTCCGACCAAAAAAAAACTCTCTCTCTCTCTCTCTCTCTCTCTGGAAAGAATAACTTGGGGGATAAATTCACAAAAAGTGAAGCAGCGGGAAAAAAAGAGAGGCGGCCGGCCGGGGGAAAAAAAACGAAGCGGACGGCAGGTCAGGGAGAATGACCCAGGAAAAAATTATTTAACAATTGAAAATAAAAATAATCATGAACTTACAATTTTGCCCTTCATTAAAGTAGATTAATTGTAGCCATTAGATTTTAATGAGATGGAAGGGCTGAGATTTACTTAGTCATGTGACTAAGGGACCCCCCTTAATCACCTGATCTTAGCCCCCTTTGTAGATGTCTTATTGCAGCTCCAAAGGGACAGCCCAGACGACTTCCACCTGGATGGAGACGGGATCAAAGTAGTCATCTTGGTATTTATTTATTTATTTATTATAAAAATAAAAAAGGTATGTACGGTATGATGTAAATTTCCCTGTTACTTAATTAACTATGAATGTCGTGATGGGTCAGGACATGTTCATCGGAGGAACAGATACGACATCAACGCTTTTGGAATGGGCAATGTCGGAGCTGATGAAACACCCCAGGGTGATGAAGAAGCTGCAAGGAGGAGGTCAGAAGAGAAGTTGTTGGTGAAGGTGTCATTATTTTTTTAGCTAATTTGCAGAAGCTGGAGTACCTGAAACTAGTAATCAAAGAGACGATTCGATTGCACCCGCCAGTCCCGCTGCTACCTCCAAGGCAACTGATGCAAGTTCCGACCATAATGGGGTACGATGTTTCGGCAGGAACCATGATCCTAACCAATGCCTGGGGGATTGCAAGGGGCCCGGCCGATTGGGGGGAATCGCCTGACGAGTTTCAGTCGGAGCGACTCCAAACCAAAGTGGATTTCAGAGGCCAACATTTCCAACTGATATCTTTTGGAGCTGGAAGGCGATGCTGCCCGGGGATTTCTTTCGGCCTCGCCGTCGTGGAGGTGGCGCTGGCGAATCTGGTGAGGGACTTTGACTAGAAGCTTCCCGGTGGAATGAGAGGGGAGGATTTGGACATGTCTGAGTGTGTTGGTCTTACAGCCCGCCGAGACCTCCCTCTTCTCGCCATACCCACCATTGTCTCTGCCCGCCGGCCAACTTAATTAGTGTTTAGGCTCTTCCCATTTTCAATTGTATCTTCCAAAATTCTCATATAACTCAAGCTGTTGGAAGAGGTTCAATCAGGAAACTCAAGCCATTAAGATAGGCTTGGAGTTTGGACAGCGAACACCGTGTGCTTTAACAAAAATAGATGGGGTCACCGAGAATCGAACAGAAGAGCTCACGGTCACAGAAGGCTCTGATACCATGACAAGAATCAGTTGACCCCAATAACTCGAGTTGTTGGGAGAGGTTCAATCGTGGATCATATCATTTACTAACACCTTGATATTGGCCAATGCAGATCCAATCTAGTGGTTGTAACCTAACAATAGAACCCAAACAACCTAGTTTCAATTGCTTTAGTGACATGGTGCAACTAGAAATTTTCCCATTATAGTAAGGATCAACCTTATTCTCTCTAATTCTATCCCTATCAATCTGGTGAAAAAAAAATAGTGTATGGCAAAACCGTGTCGAAGGAGAATGGTATTAGGCTAGGATGGTTGTAAGTTGGAAATGTAAGCTGGGCATTTTAGCGACGTTCCGGCCGTTGAAAACGATGTCACCTTTGTATCTAAACTTTGCTTTACGAATTACGACGGTCAAACCTCACCGTCGCTAAAACTTACAGAGGTTTGGTAGACGGCAGGGGCGGAGCAAGGTGAGGGCTCGCCCCCCCCCCCCCAGAATTTTAGAACCTACGTATAATTTCTACGATATTTGAAAAGTTACGTATAAACATAACGGTACTGCTAAATATGTACGCATGCAAAACTCAATCAAATGTACACTGCCAGTCTAACGGTGAATTTTTAAAGTTGCATTTCCATTGACCCGAGTTCAATCCTTGGAAGGTGCAGGTTTTTAATTTTTTTAGTGTGTACTTTTTCTTTAAAAAAACTTCTCCTATTGGTCACCATTCACGTTTCTTTTTGTGTTTTCATTTACCAAAGAAAGCATTTTGTTTTTATATTTCCTTATAAGTTCAGTCATTGATTTTAGATTATACCTATTTATTCCACTTTTGAATTATTATTTATTGTATTATTAATTGACTTCAAACATTAATATATACATATATTTATTCTCCAGTCATAAATATATTGAAGGAGTGGTATACATTGGAATGTATAATTTATTTTTTGTTCATATAATTACCCTTGTTTGGAACATAATAACGTAGAAATTTATTTTTTTTCATATAATTTAATAACGTGATCATATAATTCACATTTCACTACTAGTAAACGAAACAAATTTCGGCTCCCCGAACATCAAATCCTAACTCCGCCCCTGGTAGACGGTAGATCAAAACCGATGCTAACTATTTAAGGACTGTGGAGTATGTTACGGTGGTCATAGACAGTCCATAAAACCTGAAACACTGTCGCTAAAGATTTTTTTTATTTATAGTGCTGCCTCAAAAATCAGATTAAAAGGAGTAGAGAAGCAATTCTTCTGACAGTTGAAATCTTAGCAATCGATTTTTTTTATTTAAATTTTTTTGTGTGGAAATGGATGGAAGCACTAGTAGTTTTTAGAGATGAGTTAATTAAAAAATTTAATACTATTATAGAATTTTAAAATCTTGAATATTAAATAATAAAAAATATGATGTGATTTGCAACTCATAGTTGTATTATATGCAAATTTACATGTAATTGTCATCTATATTAATGAAATTGGCTGCGAGCTAGTGTCATGTCAATATGAAAATTCAAAATGAAATTCTTGTATTAGTATGAATGTCCTAATTACTTAGTTATGCATAACCGAATTATCATTCGTTCAAAACTCAAACCAGGTTAGAAAACTTTTCCAAATTCAACTCCCTTAGTAACTCGAAGTTATAATATTACAAAATTAAATAGTTTTATTTAGTATTTTTTTTTCCAGTGGATTAGTTCTAATATTTTGTTCCCAAAGTAAAGGCCAAAATAAGAAGTTAGTAAAGGGATAAAGTTTCCACTAGAAGAAAAAAAGAAGTTAAGAAAAATGGATAGTTGCCATGCAACTTGTCCTTTGTCATATACATACACATTAATAGTTAAATACTTAATTAGTTATATTATTATAGCTGATCAGTTTCATCAGTAACCACTTCCACTGTTTTGGAATCATGACTCATGATTGAGAATGTGTTGTACCGCAATTAAACGACTCCTTCCTGTTTTGTTTTAGTTTTAGTTTTTTAATTTTAAGCTTCAATATTATAATTAATGTTTAAAGGTGATAAATGTTTTATTTCATTATAATGTGTTTTTTTTTATAATGGCGATATTCACTATAATGTGTTACTCGAGAGATTCGAATATGAAATTTTCAAATTCAAGACTAATGATGGACTATTATAATTAATTGTTTATATTATTTTTCTGACGGTTGATGTTTTAAAATTAAATGTTGGTTGATTGGAACGTATAGTGCGACTTGTCAGATATATCGGGTCATATGGAATTTCCCCGTTCTCTCCTCCGATCAGGAGCTCTTATTATAAATATAAGTATTTTGTGGACCGTCAGTAAAAATTATTGGGTAGCCTACTATGACATGCATGTCACGGTGACATGCACTTTTCGGTCGACCTATTCCTGAGGGAGGTCGACCGAATTGACCAATTTGGGCATCACGAGAAAGCGTTGCGGTCGACCGCCACGACCACGCGGTCGACCGCATTTAGTTTAAGTTGGTATTTTTGGTCGACCAGAATAAAACCTCGGTCGGCCATTTCGTTGGCGTCAGAAACAACATGGTCGACCACCTAATATATAGGTCGACCACTTGATGGCAGTAATTAACAAAATGGTCGACCGGATAAGGAAAGAGGTCGACCAGATAGAAGATAAGTGTTCTATCAAAGTGTCCAATCATTTGACGTAAAATGGAGATCAAGTGTTGGTTTCTCGGTCGACCTAATCCGGTACGAGGTCGACCGAATACAAGAAAGTCAACCTATGCCCCGTGTCTTTTTTGCTTATGTATGTCGATTTGTGTGGTTAATTTAATCGTATAAATTATGTTTCAAACCATCATAATTAGTCAATTATAACAAGGACTCATCAATCCATAGCATAACAACTAAAAATAAAACACACATAAAATAGCATAATTGTTCACACATAAAAATAAAAGTAAAAAAACCATCATAGCATAATTGTTCACACATAAAAATAAAACTAAAAAAATAACATAAAAATAAAACTAAAAAAATAAAACTAAAAACTACTCATCTCCCCCCTCTCCCTCATTCACATTTTCTTCATTTTCTTCATTGGTGGTGGTAGCATGGTGGTCAGATGTGGTGGGATGCATGTATCTTCCGCTGAAAGATCGCCACTCATCTCGCATCTCATTCACGGTCAGCTGCATTGTGCTCATCTGGGCGTTTATTTGCCCCATGTAGTCGTACATGCCAGTCATCTGGGCGTTCATCTGGCCCATGTACTCGTACATGCCATCCATGCGCTCCCACACACGCTGTAAGGTGATCGGTGGAGTTGAAGTCTGTGCCTCCCCCATTGGCTCGTCTCGAGCTCCTTGATCACCATCATCACCATCATCATCCTCATCATCATCATCATCACCACCACCAGCATGAGCAATGTTTGCTCTGACATACTCACCATTACGCAGCTCAAAGCCCATCTTTTTCATAGATGAAACAGTATAGAACTCCTGCCTTGAGATCGATAACCCCACCTCTTCACTTAAATTCACATTAAAATGCTCAAATATCACAGTGAGGATCATCCCATAGGGAAGATTCCTGTTTGAACTCTCAGCAGCAGTAAGCATGTGGTTAAAGATCAAGTATGGCAAGTTCACCTTCTCGTTTAACAGTAGGTTGGTGAGGAGCTCCATGTCGAAGTAGGTGACTGTCTCCCGATGTCCACCCTTTGGCAGAATGTTGTAGGAAAGCATGTGGTGAAGAACTCTGGCTTGAACTGTCAGGTGGTTACTCGATGGCCTATTGCGCCCCTCAGCATCTTCCTCTTCATCAAGACCACATACGGTCTGGATTTGCTTGGCTCTCGTGTAATGCGTCTCATTCCAAGCACCGAAAGAATTGATTCTCCTCCCCGCGTTTGGAGCCTCCAGTACTTGCGCCAACACATTCTTGCTGATGCGCATCGCCACCCCATTCACATAGGATTTGAATGCGTGAATGGATCCATTTGCATTGCGCTCGTAGGAGATGTTGTTGTAGAAGTATTGTACCATTTTTGGGTAGTATTGTACATTGAGTGATATCACCTTCAACCACTCCTGATCGACGAAGGGTCCCAGAAACCCGTAATTCTCGAAATGAGAATACGCATCCGTCGTCAATGGCCTTCCCGGAACCACCCTGCGGTTGTGCATACTCTTCTCTTCGTAGTTCTCACTTTGCTCCTTCGACTGGAACAAATTCGAATTGAACTCTTCCCATTCCGAACTTGAAGCAGCAGCTTTTTGTGCCTTTCTTTTCTTTTTGCCGCCAAACATCCTGCGATCAAACAAGCAAGAATACACATTAGTCCAATTTTCGAAATGAACAATACGCGGTCGACAACTCCATAAAGCGGTCGACCACAATTAATTTAAAACGAGAATGGGTCGACCTCAGAAGAAACACAGGTCGACCTCAGTTAGTTTAAAACGAGAACATGTCGACCTTAGAAGAAGCATAGGTCGACCTCAGCTAATTTAAAACGAGAATGGGTCGATATAAACCCGTAACAATTCAAATACAAAATTGCCTTCATAGGTCGACCTTTGAACCATCATAGGTCGACCTCGGCTAAATGAAAACGAGCATAAAATGGCCCAAATGATGGTACCAATTGAGTGCAAAACAGATCCGGTCGACCTCATAATCTGAAGAGGTCGACCAGTG